TCCTGATCCCAACGCCCGCTTCAACGTCAAATCAATCCAAGCCTGTACCAATCGAGATCCAGCATCCATTCAACATACTCCATCATGACCAACCGTCCACTCCCAGATCATTCCACCCCACCCCCCTACTCCTGGCGTCAGAACGTCCAGAACCTTCCAATGGTCCTCTGGAAGAATCCCCCGCCAGCGCTACTCTTCTCTGGAGCCGAATCTTCTGCATCACTGACGACCGCCTTCTTCTTCGCCGGCGGCGACATCTCCGTCTTCCTCTTAGGCCTCGTCCTCACCTCCTCCTTCTTCCTTTCCCTCTCTCTCCCACCTTCCCGTTCAGTCTCGTTCTTCTCCACACGCTCCATGCGCTCCCGTATCTCCCGCTCTTTATGCTTCCGTATCCTCCCATCCACTGGACTCAGATAGCCAGGATCAGTGCCTTCCCCCGGTAATTGTCGGCGCGCTCGCTTCAGCTCCTTTCTGGCACGGTACGCTTCCTCTTCCTCTGGCGTTGCAAACGCGCGTGCCTTTCGCCGCGCCTCCTTCTTCTCGCGTTGCCGTTCGGCTTCGCGTTTCCCTTCGCTGCTGAGGCTATGCCCACTGTCCTTCAGAACCTCCTCGGCGCGTCTCGCTTTCCGCGCCTTGCGCTCCGCCCGCCTTGCTCGGTGAGCAGCTTCCGACATGCTGAGTTCGTGTGCCGATGGCTCGATGGGCAAGGGTAAAGAATTGGGGCTGGGTACGTCTAGATCCGACGCGGGATGCACCGAGCCGCGCACCGATGCGGGGTGGGCGCTCGCCGGATGGATACTCGCAGGATGAGCCGATCCTGGGGCCGACCGAAGGATAGGCTGCTCCTCCATTGGGAGTTGCATTGGTTGTAGCTGTTGCGGAGGGACATCCAGGAAAACAGGCTGCTCGACGTAAACAGGGCCCTCAACATACACCGGCTGCTCAACAGGCACCGGGACAGGTCCTCCGGATCGTGCTGCAGTGCGCGCGGCCTTTCTGGCCTTGCGGGCTTCTCGATCTTCTGCGGCGCTGCCATCGATGGGACGCGATTTGGAGCGCGACGACTTCTTTTCACCGTCTGCCCCTTTATCTCTGTGCCTGCGCCGTCGCTCCTTGTCTTCGTGGCCCTCCTCGGTTCCTTCACGGTGTCGACGGTGGCGATGACGTGGGGGCGCGTCGCCCTCAGTTTCAGTCGGTGCGTCGCGGTGCTTGCGGCTGCGCCGTTCAGGACGGTCAACACCGCTGGGACCTTCCGATTCGTAGGGAACTGGACGAGAACGCGATTTCGATTTGTGACGCTGTTCAGCTTCGGAGCCTTCGACGGTTCGTGAGCGATGCCGCCGGTGCCCTCCTTCTTCGCCACTGGCTGCTCGTTCCTTGCGCCGGCGCCGACGGGAGTCGCGAGTTTCCTCACCGTCGCGCTCGCGTGGCTCCTCACCTGGGCGGTCAACGATCGGCGGTAGATCATCGGGATGACGGGAGCGCGATCGCAGGCGAGCGTCGGGAGATCGGGTACGTGATCGGCTGCGCGATAGCTGCCGCACCGTTTCGGCGCCATTTCTCAAGCCGAGGATTCCGGTGGTCTTTCGCGACAAGCGCTCAGCTAGCCCTACATCCTCTGATGGGGGCGCATCGCGACTGCTTCCCCGTTTGTCCTTCCTGTGCTTGCGATGCTTGCGCTCTCGCTCGGGCGGTGGTAATTCAGGGTCGACGTCGGGAATGTCGAGCGCCTCCTTGGGCATGTAGTCCGCCGGCGGTGGGGGTGCGAGCACGTCACCATCGCCATGGTGGCGTCGGTGCCTTCTCCTCTCCTTGGTGATCCCCGCATCCAGCCCCAACAGCTGGTCCGCCTTCCTGCTCTTGCGACTCGGGGGTGTAGGGGTGTAAGGCTCTAAACCCTCCTCGGATCCACGACTCCTGCGCTTTGGATGCGCTCTGGTTTCCGATGTGGCTTCTGCGCCCGTCTCGATCGCCAGTTTCTCGGCCGCCCTCTTAGCTTTGCGCGCTGCGCGCTCTTCGGGCGTTTCCTTTCTATCGCGCCTATGTTTCCTCGGTGGATCGCCTTCGGTCATGGGCTCTTCGTCGTAGTGATGGTGTCGCGATTTGTGTTTGCGCTGTCGTGGAGGTTCTTCCTCGGGTGGGGGAGGGGGGACAGGCGTGATTATGGGTTCGATGGGTTCGATAGGTGGGCTGGGTTGCGCGATGGGCACGATGGGTGCGAGAGATGCTGTGGGCCGTACCTCTGCGATGACAGAGAGGGGAGATACCCGGTAAGGCTCTTCGTCATCCGGATCGGGATAGTCATCTTCGTCGAGTTGACTTGCGGCCATCGCAGCGGCAGCTAGAGCAGCAGCTGCCCCACCGTCGAGATCGTCCTCTGGAGGCATTTCCCCTGGCATCATCATCGCTTCGTTCTCGTGGGCGCCGGATGAGGGGGCAGCGGAGACCTGGTCCGGTTCCGCCATCGTGATTGGGTGAGGAGGGGAAACGGGGGTTGGATGCGCGCTTCCGATTGGCGGGGCAAGGTTGTCAGCTGGCTGGGGTGTTTCGTCAGCTCTAACAGGTTTGTACGCGATCACAAGGGGCTCCTCTGTGATTTCTTTTTCGTCGTCGCCGGAGAGGAAAACGGAGGAAGAATCTTCAGCGTCTGTCGGTGGAGGAGCGGGGGAAGGAGCAGGTGATGGTGCAGCAGCAGCGACAGCTTTTTTTTCTTCTTCGTTGACGGGTGGGGTGTCGTCGGATCCGCTTGCAAGCGAGACTTCTATTTCCCGTTCCTTTTCGTCATGAACCGTCTCCGGCGTGGGCTGTTGTTGTTGTTGCTGTTGTTGTTGTTGTTCTTCTTCTTCTTCTTTTAACTGTTGCTCTTCGGTGGGCTGTGTCGCTTGGGCGTCGCCAGCCACGGGATCTTCCACAGGGCTGAGTTCTGGCGCGGACTCGGTTGTGGCGGGATCGCCACAAGGCTGGCCCTTGTTGTACCTTGTTGCTGTTGCGTCGCCGGGCGTTTCAGACTCGGTTGGCTCTGACGCCGGCTCCTCTGTGGTGATTGTAGTCGCTTCGGCTTCGGCTGGAGGGGAATCCTTTTCAGATGTCAGGCCGCCGACTGGCCCTGGCTCCGCTTCCTCTTTTTCTTGCTCTTGTGATGGATGATCGAACTCTTGAGCCTCGGTTGCTGGGGCAGCCTCTGTGGGTGGCACAAGTTCACGTCAGCCCAGCCGACGAGAAGAATGCAGATGGCAATTTGGTTGGACGCTGCTGCCTGGGAGGAAGGAGTGGGGTGGATCGTATGATGGATGGATGGATGGATGGAAGGACAAAGGAGAGAGAAGAGAATAGAGTAGAACGAAGGATGCAATCGAAACGGCGATGAGAAAAGCGAGGAAGGAGAAGGGTGGGAGAATCAGATGGTAGAGATCGCACAGTGCAGAAATCGATTTACGAGAGCGAGAGAGAGAAGAGAGAAGAGAGAAGAGAAGTATCAGTTGGTATACAACTCACCAGCGTGGTCATCGTTTTCTTTCGTGTCCGTTCCTGCTGGATCGTGAAGAGCAGCAGCAGTAGCTCCTTCTTCTTCTTCATGCACGGAAACCCCTCCAACGACGCTGGCAGCATCGTCATTGTTTGCTGCTCCTTCTTCTCCTCCGCCTCCTCCTCCTGCTTCTTTGCCCTCGTCCTCGAGACTCTTCTGTCCCTCACTCTCCCCCTCCCCCTCCCCCACCTCCCCCTCCGCCTTCACCACCTCCGCGTTGTCCCCACTGCTGTCCACCACGTCGCCCGCCGTAGCTCCATCGCCAGCGCCACTTTCGCCCGCAGCACCACCATCATTGTGACTATCATGTTCCTCGCTTGTACCTGACTGCTGCCCTTCTTCCGGCTGCACGGCTACTGGCGGTTCCTCCTCACACCCATCTGCACCGGAGGCGTTGTCACTTTCGTTCCCGACGAAGGAAAGCGTGCCGCCACCCCCCTCGACCTTTCCGTCGGCCGTCAACTCAATCTCCGGCAGGTCCACTGGCGCGTTGCTGTCGACGTCGCTGCCCATATTTGTAACTCCTGGTCTCGCCGCCAGCGAAGGAACAGCAGCAGCAGCAGCAGCAGCAGCAAACGGGTGTGTTATGTTATAACGTGGCCGTGGCGTCAGTGGTAGTGGTGCTCATCTCAAAGCTCGGGAGCGTATTGCGTGCAGGAAAAGAAAAAAGATCTCAGGGCGAGATCGAGTGGATGAGGATAAAGCGCAGGTAGAGTGTCAATCGATCAGTTCAGGCGGGGTGTGTTGCAGTGAGTGGGTTGGTGGGTTGGTTGGTGGTGTTATGCGCGGGGGTGGGAGAATTCTTTTTTTTTTTTTTTGGTGCTTGTCGATTGGTGGGGGGTTGCTGATTGGACCACGTCAAAGGGAGCCACTGATAGACTGACTGGTGAGCCCCGGGCGAAAGCTGATTGGGGGGGGGGGGGGACATCGCAGGAAACGAGATGTTTCTTCTTTTCGTTGGTTGGTGTTCTCCCCGGAGTGCTGTGCAGACTCTCAGAGGGTATGTACCAGGTAGCTAGGTATGCTGCTGGCGCCACCAGGGTCTCCCGCTTTTGGCGGCGCCTGCAGCGGCGGGGATGCGGAGGGAGAAAATAACACTCTGATTCCCGATTCCCGAAAGCCTTTTGCTTTGCTTTTCTTTTCTTGCAACTCAGACATGCACTCTGGATAGATACTCGAGGACCCTTCCTCGGCCCGTGCGAATAAAGATTGAATGTTTAATTTCAGCTCAGCGCGGAGGAGTCGTCGCGATTCGTTTCTTATCGCCGGGCCTGCAGATATTCTGCATGCAGGCGCTGGTTTGGTTGGTGTTGCATGGATAGCGAAACGTTGAGTGTGGTGAGCAGCGATTGCATTGCTGAAAGAAAAGCATAAAACGGCCATCAGCTCTCACTGAACGGCTACCGCGGCTGCCAACATGGGATCCGTTTCAACGGAACCAAAAGAGAAAGCTTGATTGCTCAAAAGAAGCGCATTCCGTTACCGGGAATTGAACCCGGGTCTTGTCGGCGCTCTCAACCCAGAAGGGAGATGAAAGCGACAAATGCTAGCCACTACACCATAACGGAGTGATATGATGAAGTGGCTCTCCATGTATTCATAACTGAAAGATGTCTTAAAAAATTACTGTCGCCCAAAATAGCAACTTATTGAATGGAAACCCAAACCCTGCAAACCAAAAAGAAAAAGGTATGATAGAAAAACTCATCTAAATACTTCTTATCCCGTCGGAGCTTCTGTTTCGATCGCCGGTTTACTCGGCTCCTTCTTGAGTGCCCCAATGATCTCTTGTCCCTTCTCCTTGATGCCGCCGCCCATCCATGCCAGCGTGCGTGTGGTCTTCCACTGCATAGCACCTCGTTCCATACGATGCAGCTCCTTTCGCTCCTCCCTCTTCTTGGCAATCTTCTCCTTCAAGTGTCCTAAAGTTCCCTTACTGCTGGACTGTGAATCTGAGGATACTGGCCGCGGAGGTGTAGACGCGGAGCCCTCATCTTCAGTATCGGTGGCATCGTTGTCTGACGAGACCCACTTCTCGAGTCCTTCGCCGCGAATATGTTCCACGCAAGCTGCAGCCTCGATAACATCGCGGAAATCCTTTTCCACCGCCGCTGCACGACGATGGGAGTGGCCGAGTCCACGGTGAAAGTGGACGACCAGATCAACAGTGCCGACCTGTATTCCATGTGGAGTGCCTGAGTTCTGCATAAACTGCTCCAGCTTATCGCAGCGGTAGACTGGCAGTGATATCGCAACGTCTTCACCGTCCGGGATTTCCTTGAGCCACAGTATTGCACCAGCCAGGGTTTTTCCATGGCGAAATTTGGAGTCACGATTGAAGTAGAGGATCAGCGGCGAAGAGTGGCGGTGGCGCACACCGAGTCGGAAACCAGTAGAGCCCTTCGTGTTGTGCACGGGACACCAGCCGTTGCCTTCGGGGGACTTTACGGCTTTCTTTTTGATTAGAGGGGTTGCGAATTTGATCACGTCAGCTTTTTGTACATCGGGGTCGGTTATCTTCGAGGATGAGATTGTGCTGCTGACTATTTCGATGGAGCCAATGTCCGTGCTTAGCATCTCTTTCGGAAGCTTCGTGTCGATGCTACGGAAGAGCAGCGATATGCTAATTTTACCGTATCCTATACCTCCGCAGAGAGGGTAAAACCGGGATATTTGAGAGCAATTTTTAAACACCTCTCCTAGATTCAAGTCCACCACACCCAGAATAGGATCCTCTTCCCGAAGACGAGAGTCCCGCACGCAAATCATTAATTTTGTTTTTGTGTAGTCGCGGACGAAACGCTCAGTCACCGTGCTGAAGAAGGGCTTGGAAGTCATAGGCTTGACACGAGTCTTGTAGATTTTCTGATAATCCAGGATAATGGAGCAGTAGCCGGACGGCAGATTTTGGCCTTCCTCCTCTTCGTGCGTCGTCTGAGACTCGCCGCGCCGAATTCCAGATGAACCCTTGGATCCGGAAACGATATGCCTTTCAAGACCGACAATCTTATGGATTTGCACTGAAAGTATCCCAGAAGGGTAAGCTGGATCTGGAGGGATGGTGGTAACATCTGGCTCGTGTTTGGGGGGTGGCTTATTTGAAATGCCGGGTAGACGGTGCTGTTTCCTCGTTAGAACAAGGCATGGGGGGATGGGAATAAACCTCACTCTCAAGTCCGGTGGCACTCTCTCATCCGCCCCATCCGTCTCGAGTTTTTGATCGAGACGGCGGATCCCATAGTATGCAATGCTCCATTTCACTGTGCCCGGCATTTCACTTCCTTCTTTCAAGCCCATCAAGTTATCCACTCTCTCAAATACTTTACCAGGCTGTCGGACCAGATGCCCTACATCAACAGCCGTCCGCCCAAGGATGTCGTCGGCAGTGAAGCGATCAGAGTCCCACAGCTCGCAGCTCAGCTTCTCTGCAGCCTTGACCTCTTGGTCGTCCAAAAGCAAAACCGCTGTCTCATCCCAGACTGGGTTAAGCTCGCTGAAAATGATTCTCGTGGACCAAAGTGGCTTCCTAAGCTTGGAGTAAGAAAGGGTCACATAACAGTCCGACTTTCCATTAATATCCGCAGCCTTGACCCCGGAAGCGGAATGGATATGCACCACGAGAGCTCCAATCGCAACCAGCCGCTTCTTGGTATCGTCTCCAGACAGGATCTTCCCTAAGTCAAGGGTATAATTGAGTGGAGCTACGAACTCCCGGGCTGCCGCCCTTATAGATGAATAGATAAAGTCGCTGATGACCGGAAGGTTCATAACGTTCAGGAATCGTCTGTTCATTGGAACCGCCGCGATTTCTATTTTTGGCATCCCGAGAAGAGTGAAGGTTCCGAGTTTGACAAAGGGCGGCTGTACCCAGTTGTTAGCACTCCATTCTATACAAAACGGTTCACAGTGATCGCACATTTGGGATCAATTGGATCTTCATACGGCAAGTGCCCATCACACCGCGAAGTTCAACCCACACAGCTGTTGGCCAATTAGTCTACATTCCTAAAATTGAGGAAAATTTGACCTACGAAATGGGGTGCCAAACAGTCCATTCATTCCCATATAGAAATGCACTAAAAGGTTCGCATTTTTGGCCTTGCTGGATGCGCTGGCCGAGCTTGGTAGTGCCCTGTACGAAAAGGCTACCTCCAGACTCGCCCACTCTCCTTCCTGTTCCTGCTCATTCAAGCGATCCGTGGCGCCGTGCTCAGTGTCTGCTGCCTTTCTGTCATTCTCGTTGTCTTCGTCCAACCATCTTATCGAAAGTACCCGCACTGGCGTGGAGCCCTGTCCGACGTTGACTACTTTCACGTTCGTGACAATCGATGGAATCGAGTTTTGCATGACGTCTTCCAGAAGATCGACCATAGGTCCGAAGATTTCGGGGTTTACTTGAGGCCACAGCTTCGAGATGACGCCGTTCAGCCACTCGACAGACTCATTTCCTTTTACCCCGGCAACTCGCATTTTCTGGACTATGATCAGAACAATTTACCATCACCGAGTACTATCGACTTACCTGTTTTCCTTGGTCGCTTTCCACACAGTGGTTAAAGCTATCCCAGGCACTTTCTATATTTCTCCACCACGTAACACCGCCTCCAAACACTACGAGAATGGAAAGTGAAAACGGCAAAGACAAGCATCCGTTGAGCAGAATGAACGTGGCCGCAACAAACGCTATGTACTTCACCGTTATCGAACGAAGCTGCTCAAAGAAGAGGGTCCATTGCGCTGCAGGATAGATCTCTTTCGTTGAAGGCACCGCTGCCTCAGGAGGAGCGTACTTCGCATCACATATGGTGATTCTGTCCGCTGTTAGAGATTGGCTGCCACATTCATGAAGGGCGATTACTAAGTACTCTTTGCCAGTGATGGGGTCCGTGACGACTTCGGAATTCTCCTCTATCCGGCGCTGCTGATGTTCAAGAGTCCGAGCTTGCTCCTGATCATGGGCCGGCGGCGATGGTGGTGGGGAAGAGCGCCCTGGATAGAGCTCCCAATACGACTGGATGGTGGGCACAGGATGTCGTTCAGAATAAAAAGGGCCGGAATGGGGTCGCGAATTGTGGCGAGGCGATTGATGGCCATCCAACCGTTTGGAATCTGCATTTTGGGAAGCTTCCGGAGCATCCGGGTGGGCAGACAAGGCGGGATTCACTATCGAGGCTGCCGACGTAGTCGTGTTTGGGGGCGAGCTCGAGATGCTGCCGCGGATCGAGTTGTCACTGTTAGTTGCCATCTCTCAGCGGTTGTTGAGAACTCTGTCCATGGAATGGACGATAAAATGAGCGAAGTTTCTCTGGCGCAGCAGGTCCAAGTCGAGTTGAATATACCAGGTAGGTAGAAAGGTGGGAACAAAGCCACCAGATAAAGTTTGCGGCCATTTTCGTGTCATGGGAGATGTCGAGAAGTGGAGATCAATTCCCCCTTCGCATCGCTGCAGCGGTGCTAAGCGGCATTCGGAGCGGGGTGGCTTGGGGCCGAGCCACACATGACGCGGCCACTTCCGCGATCACTCGCGTCTAATCGCGAAATTCCGCTCGTTTCCGCCGGCGATGGGCCGAGAGTCCGAGACAATTGCCACGACATCATGCACAACACAAGCCCACGTCGTCATCAGCTGGAATTATCAATTTGTATGATTCTGTGTTGACTGCTCAGCCCGGAACTATGATCGGGAAGCGGATGCACTGATCCGCAGAGTGTCGCACAGCGCCTAAGTTGCAAAAGCTTGTCTTGACCCCTTGCTGCCGACCTCCCTTACTAAAATGCTTACATAAGCACATGGCCAAGCCGCGAATCTGTCAGTGATATCCGATGACCAGTCATCAACTTTTTTTGTTTTAATCATATTGTATTCGGCCGCTTGCGGCCATGACATATATAAGAAAGACGTGACTACTATCGCGTGTCGTTTTTTCACCTATGTCGCGCTGAAAAGTACGCTGCCTGGCTCAGAAATACGCGGGCAGCTCTGGCGAGGATCTGGCGCCGCAACCACCATCCCGCAAGGCCGCCCGTTGCTATGCGTATTTCTGAGCCAGCCAGCGTACTTTTCAGCGCGACATAGGTGAAAAAACGACACAGGTGGCAAGAAAAGGTGACCAAGGAAATCGCACCAGGTAGATGACAAAATAATAATAATAATAATAATAATAATAATAATAATAATAATAATAATAATAATAATAATAATAATAATAATAATAATAATAATAATAATAATAATAATAATAAAAAAAAGGAGAGTCATAACAGTCATAACAGTCACCAACCGCACACGAGTCCGTTACAGGTGCACCAGCTGTAAGAGGCATTTCGGTATTTGTCAAGTCAGCAGATTGGAGGCTATCATTTTCACAGGTTCACGAGTGATGGGCTGTGATCCTAAAAACCGCTACAGGCGTATAATACGCTTGAGATTCGTTACGCAAGCTTCTGGGCGTCTGGAGTATATATAGGTCCAGTGGTACCAAAAGCATACTCAGGCAGGCAGGAAATAAGTATCACTCCGCCGTCATCCGTGGTACTCCGACTCTAGGCGAGCAGTTCGTGTAACAAG